ACTACACACCCCAATAGAAGCTCTGCACTCGTCAAAGTCTTGGAGAGTCATAATCGTAGAAATGATTATGATAATGATGATAGTACGGATAAAATTGAGAATAAAAAGGGCTTAGGCAGAGGGTATTATAAAAATCATCAATTGTACCTTACCTACTGACCGCATCGCTTCTTAAAATACCAAAATAGCAAAAAGTTTACGATAGTGATAACAATAGCGGTAACGAAGATGATGGTGCCCGTGATAAAATGTGTCTTTTTTGGGCCATTTACTCCTACCACGATGCAGTCAATTAAATCCTAAATAGTGATCAAATCGAATGAAAACAGAGGAGTAACTCTTATTTTTTTCGTATTGTAGATATGTCGAATGCCATTTGATGGCGTAAGCGAACTAAAAGTTTTCCAAGATTGCAAAGATATACTGCTTGAGAAATGATTTTAACCAAGAAAAAAAAATTGATTGTGCTGTAAATTGGTTAAAGTTTTCTTAGCTCAAATTCAAAGTGTCGGCCAAGTGATAAATGTTCATACACTCCCTACTAGAACCAGATTCCTAGTATTCTTGGAACTTCTGAGAATCCCTAAGAATAAGAATACTTAAGAACAAAATTTGCAGTAGGCCTCGAGTATTTTGCTTGGAGTTTGCGGGTAGACTTGAAATTCCAGCAATTTCAAGCCAAACTTTATCTTAGCTCTCACATAGGCCCGTAATTCTGGTTTTTCAAAGTAAGCTTCATAACGTACCTCGGCCCAAATAATATCTTTGAGTGTCAGAAATGAAATTTGTGGGACTGTTTTCCCGGGTTCCATTATTCAATTCACATATGTTCTGGAAAAAGACGTAATTGACACTTTCACAGTGCGAGTCGAGTTTGCAAGCCTGCCAACACTCAATGGGGGGGATCGTCTTTAATTTCCTGAAAGTGTGTCCAATTAACATCCTTTGGAAGGTTGAGGAGTATTCGCTTCGACATTGTCCTGCATCGCCTCCTTGAAACAGCTGGCTAAACGCCGAAACAGTGATGAAACAGAAATAGCTCAGTAACATCAGTGCTTGTTTGCACAGCCCTAATAGACAAAAGCAAATTTGGTTAAAAAGAGAAGACGGTTATCGGTACAAACTTAATTCCTTATGGACTCGAGGCGAATTCTGCAATACTAAAATTTTGAGCACTGGATTCACTGGATAGAAATTAGTGTAAAATATCTCGCCAGCACCTGCACAAAACAATGTCGGAAGTTCCAGCTTATTTTAGAAGTGTTCAATATTGCCAAATAGGAAGACCATTCATCCATTTTTTTTGTCTATATCAGTGGATTAGTTGTGTGACAGATGGTTGCGAAATAATTGAGAATTTAAGCGCCGACAAGGGAGGATACACAGTCTCTCTTGGCTTCGGATAATCTTGAAATAGTGACCAGATTCTCAAGGTATTACATAACAGTAATTACCTGCCAGAAGCTTACACATTTTGCTTTCACCTAATTACTGAGTGCAAAGTCGTCATAGGCGTTGCCGTTCTCCCCAACAAGTTCTGAGCATCGTTTCCCTGCTTTTCCCGTCGCGATCAAAACGCCCAGGAATTATGTAAATTGCGCTCTTGTGTACGAGATAATACTGTTTGGAATGATTTCAAAACTAATTTCCAGGATAATGAGGGCCCCTTCCCTATTTTATTCGGTGCATTTGTGAGAATTTTCCGCCACACTCCACTACAGGAAATACGTTGGTTAGCAGACGATCCAAGATTTCAGTTCGCTTTAAATTTAGGACTGAATGCGGCGGCTTTTCTTTCATACATTCCTCTAACCTTACATGAGAATTATAAGGGTGGAATACTGTTGAATTTGATCGTGAATTAAATTTCCTGCATGTTGAAGTTAAGCTAGTCAATCAAAGTTATATATATTACGATGCTTACCCACTTTATTACTTTGTTTTTGATGTCATGATCGTTTTCACCGTGAGGAATGAATGCTCTGCGGATTGAAATCAGATGCCTACAATTCCAGAATTAGCTCAGGTTTGCACT